GTTCTTGTCCTTTCCTTCACAGCTCCACAGCACGCTCCCATTACCCCCTCCGATCATCAATCTCTCTTGTTTGATCCTGCAGCATCACAAAAAGCTCCAGAGAAGAAGAACAGAGCATTTAGGAGTTGTTTTCATGATTATCACAGACAGATGAAGTGATGTCGTTTATTTTACACAAAAAAAATGTAGCAGCGGTGCTTTAAAATGTATCCTTACCAGAAGACATTTCTTACAAGAAGCCCTCCAAACATTTTATTAAAAGACAGAGTGGCTGGTGTTTGTTCAGTAAATGAAAAGCTGATCACAGGAGTGCAGCAGGATTAGCCCGGAGATTTCCACACACTCAGAGCCACTTGATCGATACCGACTTTGATTGGCAGGTCAGGAGAAAAATGGCACGAGCTCATGAGCGTTTGTGTGTAAAACCAAAACAAAAATCTATTTTCTTTGACATTTTTGCAGAACGCGGTTTATATAGGCTTTCTGTACGTTCAGAGACGTGTACAGTTACTCCTAAATGTCAGCTGTAGCCTGCAGGGTAAAGGGAAACAGGCGAGCAGGGTTGTATCACTTTACAAACCTGGTCAATAACTGAGCTGCTGCCAGAAGTCAGATCCCAAATAACACATGCCCATAGACGCCGGCCTCAGAACAGGTTGTGTGTTTCTGAAGCGCACCAAAGATTAGTGACACACAAATAAAGAACACAAAGCGTGACTCATCAGAGTGTCCTGTGGACGTCTGATAAGGCAGTCTGAAGGATTTACGCTTTCAGTTTCGGATTATTCAGAGAGGTTGAAGGAAACACCCTTTGTTTAAGTGTGACATCAGAGAGAAAGGTCAGCTTACATTTTTCATTTCAGCTGTAACATGGGATTTACTGTCTTTCTAATTACAAATTCATTCCTTTCTGTGTCCTCTCCTCTCCTTTTCGTCCCTGGTTTGCCTTCAGTTTCGTGTGTTCACCGCCCCGTTCCATCGGGTGGAATTCGCAGACTTCTGGCTGGCCGATCAGCTCAACTCTCTGGTGTTTGTTCTCATGGACATGGAGTATCTCTTCTGCTTCTACATATTTGAGCTTCAGTGGAGCAACAACAGGGGACTGCTTCCAAAGGGTGAGGCCATCATTCAGTCAGTGCACAAACACCTTGCTTTCATGTGTATAACACACGTTACCTGTCTAAACATAACACAATAAAGTAGGAGATTAGCGTTTGGTAGAAATTTTTACTTTGTTGTGACAATGCTTCTTGGCAAAAAGTCATACCGTTGGAAAGTCCCAATGGGGTCACATTTTGAAGGAGCATGCATTTGTGGGTTGAGCAGTAGAGCTGAGTGTGTGAGTTGCCACATGAAAAATCTTCTCTGCCAAACAGCTTCTTTCGCTGTTATTGACTTTTTTAAAGGGATCCCCGATTAGTTGTAACATTAGACTTTATATGATAAACATATATTTTAACTGTAAAATAAAGACTGTAAAAATACTGTAGGATGTTCAGTTTTTATCATTTTTAAACTAAAAGTTTAAAAATATATCACGGATGGGACCATTTTATTTACATACAAAGCATTCTGGGTAAATGATGACGTGGGT